AACTGAACTGTACTTGCTGAGCTGCCAAATAGCCCTTTGCTAGAAATGTTTAATCAAAGTCTAAGGCAGGGTGTCTTACCTGACCGCTGGACACAGGGACTCATAATACCCATACCCAAGCCTTATTCACAAAAATTCAGACCCACTTCTCTGACGTCGTGCATGTGTAAAGTTCTTGAGAGAATTATTCTCGACAGACTAATGTCTCAAATTAAACCCCACCTTGACCCCTAACCTGTATGGGTTCCTTCCTGGAAGAAGCACACAAACTTGCTTTGCTGAATATTTTATCAGAGAGGGACCAAACTCTCAGGCGGCATTTATTGATCTCCAAACTGCTTTTGATACAGCAAACAGAGAAATAATCCTAGAACAACTAGCCTCTTTAGGAGTTAAGGGAAGACTGTTGACATGGCTCAGGGGTTACCTGAACCGCACCGTTAACAGAACCGCCTCAGTCCTTTTCAAGGGGGGTCAAAAGTAAACTTTGTGCACCCTTTGAGTTGGGTACACCCCAGGGTAGAGTGCTAAGTCCTGCACTGTTCAATGTTCTCATGCACAAATTAACAATTGATATTTTCACACTACCTGACGAAGCCGTCATCTGTTATGCCGATGACATATGCATTGTTGAAAATATCCAAACTAGACTGCAAGCTCTGTTGGATTCACTCGCTGCAAAAAGCATTGAATGTGGTCTTGTTATCTCTATAACTAAATCCAGAGTTCCCCATCCCCAAGAGAAAACTCATGTCCCTATAACTTTCAAGGTCAACAACCAGAACATTGAAACGTGTAGGCGGCACAAATACCTTGGAGTTGGTATTAACAGTGACATTGTAAATGATCTACACCGTAGGTTAAAAGAAAGACTTAAACCATTGAAAACACTTACTGGTAAGAATATTGGCATCAATATTAAATATGCTAGACTATTCTATATAATGTTTATTAGATCTCGCATTGATTATAATGCTTTGCATTTAATTAATTTCCTCTCCTTTGTGTTGGACAAAATTGAAATAGTACAGAATGAAGCAATGAGGATAATTCTTGGTGCCCCAAGATGCACAAGAATCACAAGATTCATGTGCACAAGATGCACATGAGGGAAGAACTGAAGCTTCCAACCATACTAGAGAGAATCATGCAAGTCAACACTACCTTTTGCCTTAAACTCATGCGAGACCCTACATCTCCTGCATTGCTCAGAGACAAATTATTTAGTGCTGTTAACACCTTATTGACTGGTGCCGACATACCAACTCACTCCTTTTATGACAAATGGCAGAGCAACAATGCCTACAATCTCATTAAACTCAACATTCCTTTTAACTGCAATCTACCTGTCTCTGATATTCCTCTTTATCTGTACCCCACCATTCAAGTATCATACACACCTGTCACCAAGAAAGATAATGAGAATCTTGCTCTTCTCAAAGCTGTCACACTCGAAATAATTGCCTCCTCCATCGAGAATTTAAGATCTCACGAGCACTGTGTCTACACCGACGGATCAGTCCAATCTTCTACTGGACGGACTGGAGCAGCATGTAGGTGTCATAAAAACATTATTTGCACAAAGACTGTCAGTGTCAGGTTAAACAACTGACTTACCTTTACACAAACATAACTAGCAGCGTTACAACTAGCTTCCAGTATATTAAAAAACATTGGAGGAGGAATAATATTTTGTGATTCAAAGTCTGCTCTTCAAGCAATCGAAAACTTCTGGAAGATCGACAGTAAGAACCTCATACTACCAATTATAAATGACTTACTGCTGCACAGAGTAAAGGGTCTCAAATCTCCTTTGTATGGATACCTTCACACATAAATATAACCCATCATAATGAGACACATTTCAGCCAAATTAGCGTGCAACAAAGATGAAGTTGAATTAGATCTAGGTATCCCCATCTCTGCTATCAAAACTGTATTGGTCCAAACACTCAGGTCTGATAGGAAAGAAATTACTGACTCCCAACGACCTGAAAGTACTAGTATAAAAAGCTATGATTTGTTCCGATCTGAAACCTATATCTATGTACAGCACAAAACGTCCACCAGGCTGTGCGACACAGTGGTTGTAAGGATCAGGTTGGGTTACCGTTACCTGTGGCAGGTGGCTGCAGGTGACGGATCTTCCAATCCTGAGCACTCCAGGTGCAAACTCTGTGAGCAAGAACTGCGGCACGATTTCTCACACTACATCACCGAATACCCAATTATTAGACCTTTCAGACCAGTTGGCATGAGGTACCTGGAGCTTTGCAATTATTTTATTCACTCTTGTATTCTTGAAGATATCCTCACAGTGTACCCAAAATTTGCCAGTGCAGGGCTAAATATATGGCCCGTATATGACTAACCATCCTGCGAGATGGGGACTTTTATTACCACTGCTACCTTACTCACTGTTGTGTTGGTGATATCCTCAAAATGCATCCGGAGTTTGCCAGTGTAGACTGCCTATCACATGCCTCTGTATGACTAACCATCCTGTGTGATGGGGATTTTTTAGCATCATGTAGTTAGTTTTTTTGACACACTGTACTCCACTTCATAGAGTCTATGGTAGCTGCACATATGCAGATGTACCTCATGTATTAATAAAAAAAAAATTAAATAAAAAGTTTTTTATGTAGAATCCATGACGATGACGTTGATTCACGTTCATGTTACGTCGATTACTCTGATTCAACGTTCATGTAACGTCGATGACGTTGATTCATTGTTATTGTAATGCCGATAACCTTGATTCAACGTCGATCAATTTTATTCAATGGTGACTCAACATCAATAATGTTGATGCAGTGCAGATTTAATATTACTTGATCTTGTATTGCTCAATGTGAGAGAGAACCAAAGAGACTAACGGGGAGAGAACACCATGGAAAATGTGGGGGAGAAGTGTGAGGTAAGGAGTAAGGGAGAATCTGAGAGAGAGAATGGTAGGGAGACTGTGAGGTTAAGAAAGAAAGAGAATAGGAGAGAAGAATGAGATGTAGGGAGGGAGGAGGAGAATGGGAGAGAAGGAGAATGAGAGAGGGGAAGTGAGACTGTGAAGAGGGGAGGAAGAATTGGAGGGAGGGAGAATGAGAGAGAGGGAGAGAGAGAGAAACCCGGACACTGCCGGCAACCTCCTCCAGTAAGAAATATTTAATAACATAACTAAATTTTTTATTGAATTTTTCCCGATCTTTTCATTGATACCAAAAAAGTAACTTTTGAATAGTATTTCTTTGGAAATGGGACGCATCAAATCAGGTAAAAAACAATTCAATAAATAGTAAAATGAGAACTAGGTAATTTTCCTGTTTCCTTTGGTTTAAATAGTTCCTATAGTATGAACACTTCAGCTTAAACAGGTAAATCTAAACAAAGTATAAATCTGCAAAACATATTCTGTGTAGCGCTTTTAGGAGCTGTACTATAACCTCCCTCCAGTGTACCTGGAGGTACATTGAAGCTCCCTCTAGTGTACCTGGAGGTACATTGAAGCTCCCTTCAGTGTACCTGGAGGTACATTGAAGCTACCGTCATTGTACCTGGAGGTACATTGAAGCTCCCTCCAGTGTACCTGGAGGTACATTGAAGATCCCTTCATTGTACCTGGAGGTACATTGAAGCTACCGTCATTGTACCTGGAGGTACATTGAAGCTCCCTCCAGTGTACCTGGAGGTACATTGAAGCTCCCACTAGAGTACCTGGAGGTACATTGACGCTCCCACTAGAGTACCTGGAGGTACATTGAAGCTCCCTTCATTGTACCTGGAGGTACATTGAAGCTACCGTCATTGTACCTGGAGGTACATTGAAGCTCCCTCCAGTGTACCTGGAGGTACATTGAAGCTCCCACTAGAGTACCTGGAGGTACATTGAAGCTCCCACTAGAGTACCTGGAGGTACATTGAAGCTCCCACTAGAGTACCTGGAGGTATATAAAAGTTCTCTCCACATTACTTGCCTATCAGTGACTACGGGGAAGTGAGGACAAGCTCTTCATGCCCCGTCTAGGAGCCTTGTTGTACTCGTTGCGATAAAGATTCACTATTCTAACAATCACTGTCTTTGTCGACTCTTTCCATAAAGTTGAGGATGAAGGTGGCCTCCAAAACTTCTTCTCTGAGTGCATTCCACTTCTTGACCACCCGTACAGGGTACGAGTATTTCCTTACATTTCTTAGACTTACTTGTGATTCCAGCTTCCACTTGTGTCCTCTTGTCCTCTCAGTAGGATATTCTCTTGAGTGTACCTATAATTGTAGGAGCTTTTTCTCTCTCCAATCATAGGTATACTGGAGTTACAATGTACCTATAACTCTTAACTCTAGTGATTCAATTGTGAAGAGAGTTGTACAATCTGCGGAAATGACAATTGTGGTCCCAATATACAAGACAAGAAATATGGTGGAGGCACTTAGCTATATGAGTGTCACTTACAAATATCTTCCAGCAAATTACTCAGAAAATAATAAGAACAAGATTAATTAAAGACGTAGAGAGTATTAGGCATATAAACTAGCACTAACGTGACTTTAAATAAGGAAAAATCATGCCTTACGACCTAACTTGAGCTCGATAATAAAGTAACGAAATTAAGATAAAGCTAAAAAAGGTTAAGCAGCGGGGATACATATTTTTAGACTCCCAAAACACCTTTGACTCAGTACTTCACAACAGACATACTAGAAAGTACTTGAAGGTTCTGACAGGGTAGAAAAGAAGATGTTCACAGTGAATAACAACAGCACAAGTTGGAAGCTTGAGAAACAGATGAAGCAGAGAGATATTGGTGTTAGCATTAGAGTAGAAGGGAAATGGAAAGAACTAAATGAGCAGATTATAGAAACAAAGTCCATTGATAATTTTGAATGTAGATATGATAGGAATTAGGTTGTTAGGTCACTTCATTGAACAACCAACTGCTGGAAAAGGGGAGTTCAAAAGCAAAAGCTCTGTACTTTACAAGAAATAGGTGAGTATATACACTAACCGACCTGGGAGACCCCACGAAGAACCCGTCCACCCGCTGCGTGGGCCAGGGAACACTTCCTGGGAAACTTGTGCAGGTGTAACTGTCGTGGGCCAGCACCCGACCCTTCATCACCGGCCACAGTCTTCTCTGAGGGGTAAACAACGGACATAATTATGGGCAGGTGTAACTGTTGTGGCTTAACACCCAACCCTTAATCACGGTCACTGTCTTCTCTAAGAGGGTCAAGAATGTACATAATTAAGGTAGATAATTCCCACCAAAGATATAGTATAATATGTCTGAGTTATAGTACGTGGTCTATACGAGAGCACATGCACCAGGTATTGCTACTTTTAGACCCAAGCCAAGCCCTCCCAGAACAGAGAGTTAAGTCAGCAAATGACTACCATTTGTGATGTGTTAAACCAGGAACACTTACCAGGACAAGTAATACGAAGAGTCATTTAATTATTATGTTAATACTCTAAAATAATACATATAAACCATAAATAACTGTTTAACCAGACACGTTTGTTAAGCAGGAGTATAAAATCAATGTTTAAAACAAACTGGGCACTATAAATTTGCATCAGCGATGCCATCTAGGGTGGGTGTGGGGCAGACTGCATCTTTAAACTCTCCAACCCTACATCACTACAACGAAGACACTGCGGTCATACTCACTGACATATATACACACAAACAGTTACACTATTAACTACACTACATCGGGGCCTGGTAGCCTGGTGGATAGCGCGCAGGATTCGTAATTGTGTGGCGCGGGTTTATTTCTCTACAAGAGATATTTGATGGCTTAAAGACAGTTGTCACCCGTCTGAGGACACAACAATAGAGTGCAGAAAAAGGGCACACAAATCTCCTCTGACAAAACATAAATGTACAAAATACTGGAAAAAGCCAATAGTGTCTTCTTCCCCTTCACTTTCACCTGTCAAACTGTCACATAGTAATAAACAATGACCAATATATGACAGCTATATCAGAAGCAAGATATAATGGAAAATTTATTTAGTTAATTTAAGCTTACCCGTTCCAGGTGGCTTGCAACGTATTCTAACCACTTGATATAATATACTAAATATGGCCATAAATGTACATTAATAATAGTCAAACAGATATAAAACACTTCCCTATTACTAATAAAGGTGTGCTGATTATAAGAGATTTGGCATCCTGCTTTACTTTGATTAGTGGGAAATTTTTGTGTATCTTATGCAAGTGTGCTCACAGGCAAGACTTGATGTTGATAATTAATGTGTCTCCTCCTCCCTCCCCGATGAAGCAACACGTCGAGAGATTGGATCAATTTTCTGTCTTTTATCGACAATGGGAGGGAGACCTTGGTTTTATTTATGATATAATTAGATACAGTCATGGAATATACTTTTAATCTATTCTGTTCTCCAGACTTGTGTTTTATGATGAATTCACAAAATAATTTGCTGGCGAATTTAAATTTGGTGATGTGGTAATTACATCCTCGTTTTTCAGGGGAAAAATTCCACAATTCTATTTTTTTAAAGAGTAACTAAGATAATTTGATTAGTTTATGTAATACAAAATCAGCAGAAATATTTTCTGCATATTGTATTGAAAGTTAGTAAATAGTGTCGAAATTTCCGACATAGACTGAACATGCAGATATAAACCAAGAAACAGCGCATCCTTACCCAAAAAAAAATTTGATCAGAAGGGTGATTGAGCTGGATATGCATCAATACTTCAATAATTGTGGAGGAGTGTTAGATTCCACGAAACAACTGAGACAATAATACTGGAATCCTTAGGAATGACAGTCTTTAACAAGCATCCTGAAGAACTGTATGATAAGTCGAATGTACGATACGAGAGTTTGCCCTTACCTTGGTCCACCTCCACTCCATAAATAGAAAGTTGCACACATACACATCTCTTCGAAACAAGTGGAGTTCATTACACAGGGGCAATTTCTCTTACAGATACACAATATGGACATCCGATAGAGGAGCATATTTGTTTATTTACCTATGCAACCACTAGGGCATTTCATTAGAAGTGACACCTGATGTGACTGATCATTTATACAGGTTTTCCATAGATTCGACGCACTCCGATCATGCCCTAAACTATTGATCTCAGATAACGGAGTTAACTTGGTTTGCTAACATTCTACATTGGTTGCTACAATCGATAAATCTTTATGGAAAATCTGTTTACATCCTGTAGCCTGTAATGCACTACAAAGACAGTGCAAATGGAAATTCATCCAACTTAAAACTCCATGGCACGGAGGTTTTTATGAAAGAATGATATGTGCAGTCGAGAGATGTCTGAGGAAAATTCTGCATCACCAGAAGATTGGCCTCATGGAGCTTGAAACAGTAGTTACAGAAATCAAGTCGAGAATAAATAATTGGTCGTTGACATACATGTAAGGTAACACTATTCAACATGTACCAATAGGTCCAGCCCACTTAATGTACAGTGGACCACTGACTCCAGTACCTTCCTTACCAGATGAGAATGTCAGAGCTCTCATACAGGGGTTGATAGTGAGTTGGGACAAGAAGTTAAACTTTCTTCCCAACATAATACATAGATGGAATAGCACCATAATAGGGCTAGTTCCCCATATAACAAAGTAAACATACATTGTGGTGATATTGTCCTGATGGACAGTGATGGATCAAGGTCAGATTGGCTATTAAGTAAAGTCATATTTGTCCACCCAGACAGTCAGGGTATTTTGAGGATAGTTAAAGTTCGGTCTAAAGGAAATTCGTCCTAAAAAATACTAGAGAAACTAATACACTTGGAGTCCATGGGTCGGACAGATCCTGGGCAACCACGAGTATCAACACATGTCGATCCACAGACCCAAGTATGGGACATCTATCCCCAATGGACAGCCGTTCAAACATGCAAACAAAATTTGCGTTTGTACGTTCGAAACAATGGGGAGTAAACTTTGCAAAAGTTTGTCTCGTGTCTCTCCTAAATAATGGACTCCGAGCCGTCAATTACCGCCACCGATGTGGAAAATTTCTATCATAAACATAGAATAACATGTGTGTGTTATAGTACATCGTTTATGAGAGAGCACATAAACTAAGCATAGCTCTTTGTTGACCCAAGTCAATCCCTCCCAGAACAGAGAGTGCAAATGACCACCATTTTGTGATGTACTCACCTAGTTGTGCATGTGTGGGTTGAGCTTCGGCTCTTTGGTCCCGCCTCTCAACTGTCATCCAACCGGTAAACAGATTCCCGACCGGTCTTAAACAAGGGAGGCATCTTAAGGGTTCCTTACCAAAACATTTATAGTGATACCAGGTGCCATTTGACTATCATGGTAATACTCTAAAATAAATACCAATAAACCATAAATAACTCTTTAACCAGATACGTTTGTTAAAAGGAGAATAAAATCAATGTTTAAATCAAACTAGGCGCCATACATCCACATCAGGGACGCCATCTGGATGGGCATGGGGTGGACCGAGTCAGTAAACTCTCCCTCACCACAACGAAGGCACACAGCGTACACGCTGAATTTCAGCTGTTTTATATATCCATGGACCTTTGTATGGTGGCTTAGACTAAATATAGAACTATATGAATTACACACTGTGTAGGAACGATAGGTGTGTGAAATATAAAGAATAACAATGAAGCAGAAGTGAGCCACACCGGACGCAACAGGACGGAGCCAACAGACGCCATTACACCACTTCAACAACAAATGAGAACCTCCTACAAAGCTCATGCCCATCAGGAGGGGCTAAGTCTTGATAAAATAGACTGAAAGCTCCGCACCTGTATATAACATTATAAAAATAAGGGAGGTTGGCGATGTTATTAAAGATGTGGATAAAATTTATTTGTACCACTAATCGAATTATATTGCAGCTGTGGTTACTACCATGGCCTTACAAGCCCACCTCAGTAAGTAAATTACTTACCAGTCGATTATTTTTTTTTAAGTAGGTTAATAAATAAGTGAAATACAGTCAGAGTATTTTGAGAATAGTTAAAGTTCAGTCTAAAGGAAATTCGTCCTTGAAAATATTAGAGAAACTAGTACACTTGGAGTCCGTGGGTCGGACAGATCCTGGGCAACCCCGAGTTACCTAACCTATAACCTACAAACAGTCTGTTTTATCTTGAGGTTATCTTGAAATGATTTCGGGGCTTTTTAGTGTCCCCGCGGCTCGGTCCTCGACCAGGCCTCCACCCCCAGGAAGCAGCCCATGACAGCTGACTAACACACAGGTACCTATTTAAGGTACCTGGGTGTTTAGGTAACAGGGGCATAGGGTGAAAGAAATTCTGCCCATTGTTTCTCACCGGCTCCTGGGATCGAACCCAGGACCACAGGATCACAAGTCCAGTGTGCTGTCCGCTCGGCCGACCGGCCCCCCCCAAATAAATAAAGTTAATAAATAAGTGAAATATATTGCTATTTTTTAAAGATATTAAAGTACACATTTTTCAATAGATTAATTCACATTAATAAAGAATTAAATAACCAATCTTGTCATTGTTTATAATATAATTCATATGTGACAAAATACCAGAATTAAAAGAATAGACTAAAATAACAATATTACTGATATCAGTCCATGTTGTGTTCAATCCATTCCATTCCATCCAGTCCATTCAATTAATTTTACCATTAGTAATGAAATATAATTCAATCAACAGATAAATTAAAGCAGCACACTTAATGTTGAGACTCCTTCCCCGTCTAGTCTCTCAAGGAACACTGAGTCAATTAAGGAACCAAAGACACCGTCCACACCATGGCACAAAGAATAATATCAACATAGTCTTCCCAGGAGCCACTGCATGTTACTACTATTACAACTGACCGTTCAATTTGCTGTTATCATTCTTTTTGTTGAATAATAGTTAATTCTTTTAATGTAAAAACAATTATTGAAGTAAAATAAAGTCCTCAATTAGTTCGAAAAATATTTTTTCGTCTGTGATTCAATTCTTGGTATTATAAAGTTGCAACATATTTAGGTAGATCTAACGGAATTATAGCAAGGTATATGTTGAACTTTTTCAAGAAGATGACCGAGCCATGAATGACTCTCCAGATAAACTGAGATCAACTGGCGAAAGAAATTCTGTTTAAACTAAATTCAATATCATGTTTTGGGAAACTTGACGATTCTGTGTCAAAATGACATTTTGTGAGAGATGAAGAAGGCATCTCGTGGGTATGGGTGGCAGGTTTAGTTATTTCAGTATTAGGGGTATTTCTTCAACGTTAACAGACATCATTGTATTTGTGTTCCTTCAGCAGACGCCATCAGGACATTTATACACCTCATGTACGCACTTGAATTAATGTGTCAACCTTTAGCAAAATTTAACATGGCACTCCAGAGTCTTTTGTAAACTTAATATATCTTGTTAACAGACACATTACAAAATAATAATTGTAATTGTACAAATTTCTTTGCTGCTAATTAGAATTGCATAGTATGCATTTGCTTAATGTGTTACACTTAAGAATCCACACTACATTATAAGTGAATGTATAATGTACTGACTTCTAAAATGGTTTGATCTTCTAAATAACGGGAAGTGCCAACAGCTTCCGTGAGCATGAGGTCCCTGATGGTAATGAGTTCGCGGGCGTTTATTATGTCTTGGTCCCAGCGAGCTGCCCAAGTCCCACCCAAGATAGGCACACCATGTTTTGGGTGATCCCGCATCACGTGGAAAGGCTTTCCTGACGCTAGCCAGGCGTCCACCGCCGCCTGCTCTCGCTCACCCACCTGAAGAAGCCACCTAACGTTACACACATAAGAAAATGGAATATAGGATTTGTCAGAAGACCTCTTGAGTCATGGGAATTAGTTAGATGAGGGGAAAACCACATCTAGCTGAGTGCTTGTGTGGCTGCAGATGGTGTTAACACACATTAAGGAATTACGGTATCTATATGAAATAATTTAAAGTAAATAAATAGATACTAAAACTACATATTAAGCAAGATATCATTCTAATAATGTGGGCCGAACATTTTCAATGGTTTTATCATGATAATGAACGTGCATACGAGAGTACTTCTTGTTTAAAATGTGTCAAATGTGGTTCCCGGCCATATAATGTCATCGGTCTATGCTGATGCCCTTGTATATCCTCAATCAAACAGAGGAGTCTCTCTGGTTTCGAAAATTATATTATAAAATATGAGAAAATCAGTATGATCCATGAAGAGGATTAGAACTAATGCTCTGGGTACTCATAGGCAAGTAAGTAATTATCAAAAGAAGGCACCAAACCAAGAAGGCTATGTAGCACCATCAAATGTGCAGAATAATCAGAGGGCGCTAAATATCACCAAGGATGCCAATTCGAGAACAGAAACACATAAGGAGAACAATATCAAAAGTATCCGATTCACCAAGAATTCTATCGAGGGACAAGCGACCGCGGGGGACAGTCGGAAAACAAGACACACGCTCGTCCTGGAAGTCAGGACATTCAACAAGAATATGCACGACTGTAAGAGGGACAATGCAATTTGGACAATAAGGAGCAGGGACGGCACTCCATTAAGTGACCATGAGAAAAGCATGTATGGCCAATTCGCATCCTCGCCAGAGCTGTTTCCCAACGCCGGTTACAGTGGCAGGAGGATGGCCATGAGGACACACTACTCCTAAGAGTACGCAGTTTATTACCAGTAACAGAAGACCAAAAACCCTGCCAACGGGTAAGGACGAAGGAATGAATAACTGGGTAAAAGTCGGAATAAGAAATACCTTTACAGGAGATGGGACAAGAGCGGACAGCTTCCCTAGTGGCAGCATCTGCACGCTCATTTAATGAGACACCAATATGGCTGGGAACCCAGCAAAACTCAACTGACTTAAATTTACTGGAAATAAGAAACAGCCATTGCTGAATCTCGACAACCACTAAATGGACTGGATTAAAGGACCCGAGAGCCACGAGGGCACTATGAGAGTCAATGATAACTACAAAGGAAGATTGACAACGAGAAAGCATAAAGCATAAAGTTCCGCTTTGAAGATGTTAGTTTCCGGAGGTAGATGACACGTATAAGTGCTGTCATGAAAAACAATAGAGTAGCCTACACCGTCCGCAGGCTTAGACCCATCGGTGAAGATGGAAACGGAGTGGGAGTGCGAAGAAAAGTACTCAAGGAAAAGGCATTTCAGAACCGTAGAATGAGTAAAAACTTTAGTGATGCGGGTTAAGAATGTACAAACCTTCGGAAGGGGGACTCTCCACGGGAGCAAGGAAGGAACAACACGAGGAGAAATATTAGAAATACGAACGGAAAGAGAATCCTGTAAGCGTGATAACCGGACAGAAAGAGGGAGGGGTTAAAGAGGAACAGGAACCACAGAAGGGGTAAAAGTTAAAGCATGACAGAGGCGAGAGGAAGGATATTTCAAGGACTGCTCAAGATAGCGAAGACAGCAGCGATCACGACGGTCCTGGAGATATAGGAAGCCAGTGTCAACATACAAGCTGAGGACGGGAATCGAATGAAAGGCACCAGAGCTAAGGCGCAACCCAGTACGGTGGAAAGCATCAAGACGGCGAAGAGTAGAAGGAGAAGCAGACAAGTAAGCAGGGCAACAATAATCGAGTTTACACAGGACGAGAGAGGAATGTAAAGCGAGGAGAGTGCGCCTACCCTGCTCTCCAAGAAGTATGTGACAAAAGCTTAAGGAGGGTAAGGACCTTAGAGCATGCAACTTGCAGGTAAGAGATATGGGGCGACCAAGACAAACGAGTGTCAAAGATTAACCCCAAATGCTTTGCGGAATCATTGTACACAAGGGGTTAACCATAAAGCGACCAAGGGAGACGAAGAACGACACGTTTCCGAGCAAAAGATAAAGCACAAGTCTGAGACGTAGAGAACCGGAAACCGTGATCGGTGGCCCAAGATGACACGGCATCAATTGCAAGTTGAAGCCGCCGTTGAAAGAAAGGCGAATCATCACCCTGACAGCAAAGGTACAGATCGTCGAAATAGAGAGCGGAGAAGACCCCAGAAGGAAGAGAGGAAAGGAGACCATCGAGGGCATCCAGAAAAAGAGTAGTGCTCAGAACACTACCTTGAGGCACACCCTTGTATTGCTGAAAATAGGCAGAGAGAATGGTATCAAGTCTCACTCGAAAGGAACGACGAGAAAGGAAGCTTTGGAAAAAAAGAGAGAGATTACCACAAAAGCTAAAAGAATGAAGTTGAGACAGAAAATGATATCGCCATGTGGTGTCGTAAGCCTTTTCCAGGCCAAAAAAGGAAGGCAACAAAGGAGGTCTTCGCAGCAAAAGCAGTACGAATGTGAGGGAATGTAGATTCCCTCAGCTAGTTTTCCTAGTTTTCTAGATTAGGCTAGTCGCTCTAGGGACTCTAGTCAAGAAGTTTTCAAACAAACATACACTTGTGGGGTGTTGGATGAAAGCTCTTGTTATGGACTATCATTTAAGACTAGTCAGAAGTCTGTGATTGCTCTGTAGAGAGAATTACAGAAATTTTCCTGTTTCTGTGAAATAGGATGGGAGTTGAGAGTGAAGTGGTGGTGTGGGTAGGTACTTGACTCTCCCAACCATTAGAGGTGGTGGGGACAGTGGGGTTCACGTTGCCCCCCCCCCCCACCATGTGAGACATTGCGCCACTGTCTTTAGGCCTCCCCCTCCAAGTGATGTCACGGGACGCCTGAGGTTGAGGGAGGCCTGTCATTGGTTTAGGCATCTCTGCTCCTAGCTGAGTTTTGGCACGAACAGCTGTTATTGGAAGCGGCACCATGGAGTTGTGCCGGCTTTGTGCTGATTAGTCAAGACAAGGAAGGGGGGGGGGGGAGATATGGGCATTTTGAGTTCCCTTAGCCAGCCAAATCGTCAGTTTGAGCTGGGCAGCGAGCTGGAGAAGACGTAGCTGGGTGGAGGTGGCAGCCTGACACCTCCATCCCCGTTAATCGCTGTGTCATTCCCTTGTTATTCAGCGTGGATGGCACTCCTGCCATCCTGGGTTTGTGTCAAGGCCCAATTTGCGTGAAATTGGGGCCAATGTGACAAACTAAGAGACTGTTACAGTGTTAACCCATGAGGCAGCTGGCCTCATGGTGTATCAGATCATCCCTCATCCCTCGGGTCTGAGTATCCTGTCTAGAGTAAATGGACAATGGAAAATTGGTGGAATAATGGGCAGGGCCTCCTAGTGTAATTGTGGTGATATTACAGGCCCCTGTTGGACTTTGAACTCCACCTGGCGGTGTCCGTGTGGTGATGCCGCCAGCCATTGTCACCCGAGTGTATGAGCGAGCATGCTGGTTTGATGGGAGTGTGGAGCCAGCCAGTCGGGGGCCATCCCAGGCCACCCGCGCCACCCACCTTGGCCAGCCGCCCGGGGGGGGGGGCACCCTCCAGGTCACCCGCGCGGCCAAACCCCACCCCACCCCGCACACCAGCTCAGCCTGGGTGGGGTGCTATGACGTCATGCACTACCCGTGGCCACCCCCTAGGGCCACGAGGTGGCCACATGTTTGGCCACCTTCCCTGGACATTCGAGGGCCACACCTCGCACGAGGAGCGAGCTAGGTGTTTACAGCCAGAGAGGTAATGACCAGGGAAAGGATTGTTGAAGATTTAAGGATGCTGTGAGTACAATAAATGTGGTTACAGTGAGGGTAGCAGCAGAGTGACAGCTGTCAGTGGCACGTCCAGGTGACTGGTTGGGATGTACCTGGAGATGGATGTTGTACACGGTACCACACTGTAGATGTATATAGTTATATATAAGTGTGTAGACTGACTCGGGTATGTAACCGGTCAGTGTAGAGATTTACCATATAAATGATCCAGTTGTCGATTCTATATAATCGGTCAGACTGGATTAGTGCTATGGAGTACCAGCATGTGAAATTATTATCATTGCAGCGGTAGGCAGGCCAGTGGTGCAGGGATGTCAGTGGATACCCTGAGGTCTGTGTAGTTAGAGATACATTTACTTGGTGATATAATTTTCATTGATTATGTGAATGCCATTTCTATGTGTTCATTTGCATGTTTCATGTACTATGTTGTGTGGTGAGTCAGTAGATGTGATTGCTGACTGATTGCCTAATGATGTCATTAGCATGTGGGGTATGCTGACAGCATCATTATGTTGCAGGTTTGTGTAGTGTTGTTATCAGGTATACAATATTATTGCCCTAGGAGCTGTGTTGATGGTTTAAAGGACCTCTAGGATTATTCAGGGGAATTCACAGTACTTAATGAGAGCAGGTAATTGATTTGTTAATTGCCTTGCTGAGGTAAGTGTGTGTGCTCACAGTAATCCTTTGCAACGGTTGCAAGATAAAGTGGGGCAGTAATATTGGTATACTCATGTTGTTGCACAACCGTGTGTCATTACTATGTGGGCACAGTAATTAACGTGTTGCAGTAGCCGCAACCATATGTGGGCAGTGCATTTGTGTTGTTATGCATGCCGTAGTAAGTGTGACCTATGTAACACTGGGGTTACTTTGTTTAAGTTGTGTCAAGGACTTAAGGATTCAGTGAGTTAATTAAAGGGGTAATTAACGGGATAAGAGGTGCACACTTATTGGTGAGTGAGTGAGAGCTGTTATGGGAGAGCAGTGTTGAGCTTGAGTGAGATACGTCTCGGGAGCAATTAATTGTCCGTGTGACAACTAATTGACCACTCTAGCTAATTATGTAATTAGCCTTCTCATCATGAATTCACGTAGTGGGAGAGGATCTGTCAGAGTCTGTCAGTATTTGTGTTAACGTAATTT